AAAGGAAATATATGAAAAGGAAAAAGGTGGAAACAATGTCTTTGTAAACATGAAATTGTGGAGGGGCTGAAGGCGGGGGCTAGGAAATGGAGGAAAATAAGAACCAAGATAAGTCATAAAGCTACCGGATCCCAATGATGACTGTAACTGTATTGTAGACCTAAAATGTGCCAATAAATTTAATAAAATAAAACGTTGCTCAGTACTCCATTAATATGTAGAAATTTTACTTTTAATATACATATATATAATATATTTGTTAAAAAATAAACTAAAAATATAGTCCCAAAATGTGTTTAAAAAAAAAAGGCTGGGGAAGGTATTCTAGGAAGGTATTCTAGGCAGAATCTGAGTAAAGACAAAAGAATGCATCTGGTATTAAAGAAGTAATGAATGTGGTGAACGAGCCAAGAGGAAGAAAAGAAAAATTCAAGACGAGACAGAAGAAATGGGAGTTGCTTTCCTGACCACTGATAAAGAAAATATGACAGTCACTAATATTTAACATTGGTCACATAACTTGCATTTTTTAATATACTGACACATAAGATCCATCAACATTAATATACATAATCAGGCTATAATGAGCAGATGAAGGATACTAGGATTTGTAGAAAAATTCAGATCCAAGTCTTAGGGTTTCATTTTAGTTAAGTTTGCAGTTGTTAGACACCTGGAAGGTCAAGACCTTCAGAAAACTGGAAATTAATCTCATTTTTACAATTACTGAGACTCGATGACTAAATCAATGTAGGCAAACAAAAAAGATCATATGATGAACTGAAATATATATGGGCAATGATGGAATAGATAATAAGAGGAAGTCTGAGTAGAAATGAAACTTCAAAAAATATACTGAACATTTGCTAAATTTAGAATTACAGCTATTCAAAATATTCAAGGCTTAAGTTTCCAAGTTAAGGATAAGCAAAAGTAAGAGTTATTTCACTGTAATTCCTTAATATTCAATAATTATAAGTTCTAAATACAGATTTGTTTTAAAATTTGTATTTTTGGTAACTTTATTATTGTATTAGCAAAAAAGGAAAAATGGAAGAATTTAGAAAAGAATTTTAAAAGCAAGGACCTAAATATATATTATACTAATTCTTGCACTTCCTTTTTATAAAATTACTGTGACTAATACATCCATTTTCAATCTCGGCTACAAAAACCCCTCCTACTCCATGTGATTTTTATTAAGATGTATTTTAAATGACAAAAGTACTTACACAGTCACATCATATAATATAGTACAAAACATCGATAATCCACAATATTGTACTATGAATAATTTATTCTATAACACAAATCCATTAACACTTTATTGATATAGAAATAAATGACTTATTCTAATTAAAGAAAATCTTATTTCATTTTCAGATATAACTGAAAAGATATAATGCAGTGAAAAGGCCAGAACACGTGGTAACAAAGAGAGTAGGAAAAATTCTATGTTCTTAGAATAACCCTTAAGGAGGAATCCTCACCTAGGGTAAGAAGACAAAAATCTCATTTGTTTCATGTTTTTGTTATTTATCCAAGTACTGCAACAGTTTAGATCTGGGATGGCCCCCAAGGCCTGTGTGCGAGAGGCTTGGTGTCCAAGCATTTGTTTTCTTTGGGAGGTGATAGAACTTTTAAGAGGTGGGGCTCTGGGCCAGGTCACTAGGGATGTGGCCTTTCTGAGGATTGTAGGACTCTACTGTCTTAATCCATCCACTCCCCACCACCACTACCACCACCACCACCCCTCCACCACCACCGCCGCTGGCCTTTGCTCTACTACGTGATTCTAACATAAAGAGTCATCTCGGACCCAAAGCATGGAACCAACCAATCACGAATGGAAACCTCTAGCACTGTGAGCCACAATGCGTCTTTTTCTCTTTATAAGTTATCTCAGATATCTGTCGTAGTCACAGGAGCCTAACACAAAATATGTAACTTTGATCCACATTTTAATAGTTTTATATGCGGTGAAATGTTGATTGGTAATCTTTGTCTTCCTCTCATTCTCATTAGAGAAAAAGAAATAATGGAAGTAAGTTCTGAGCAATGTTTAGCAGTAAGATCCCTGATTGTGAAATCATTTCAGTTCTTCCACTGTGAAGTCTCTAACCTTGGGACGATCCCTCTCATGTTTTCCTTTGTGTGGCACACTTTTCTTGGTGGGAATCAAATGAGTCAAATATGGAAATATATATATTTGAATTTCAAAGAATCATACCCAGTTTCTGGCAAATAGGTGGTATTTCGTTAGTGAATAAAAATGAAGTCATTCACATAAAGGTACAAGATCCCAGTGACAAAGGTTAAGTGTATTGCTGGCTTTAAATGTACCAATAAATTTAATGGGAGAAAAAATGAAGTCACATTTTAAAGTACAATTATTCTTAAACGACTTGACTTTATAAATTAAAAAATCCCATCAAGAGTAAACTTCTCTTTTTAGAAAGATACTCAGTTAAAAGAAGTACCGCAGCTGGTTGATAATAATTCCATTTCAAAGATAAGAACGTTCACATTTCACCACGGGGCTCTTGCTTCTCCCACCATTCTACCCATTTCTTCCCTACTTTGCTTCTCATCTGTTTTGCAATTTAGACTGCGAGCTCATGTTCAGTATGGTTTTATGTCCTCAGAACATCCTGGAGACATCATTTCAAAGCCAGGTTGAGTTCAGACCTATGGTTTCTTTTATTCTTCACCAAGAACCCAAGTTGAAATGATAAATTTTCTTGCCATCTTCTGTGTTCCTCTTTTACTAAGAGGGCAGCCTTTGAGTGAGTGGAAATCTCCTCTAGTCTCCGACTTCTTTGAGTTTATGCCAGAAGCCTTTGTCTCTCAAGGGCCTTCTTTCAAGTATTCCACTTTGCATCTTTTTGTCCAAAGGGAGCATGCAATGTGTTGTTTAAATTTTTGTGCCGGAACATTCTTCTATTAGGTAGATGAAGAGAAAGAAAACTTCTGTCATAAAATTAAATCTTACTTTGGAGATCTTAAGGGAGAACATTATGATTAAAATTTTCCACCATTGATATGTTCACTACAAATCAGATAATTTGAAAGGGCCTAACTATACTGTTAAATTCCTTTTTTTCTAAGTAAACATCTAGGTTGTTCACAAGTTACATTTACTACTATCAGGTTAAGTACAGAATCATATTGCAGGCCAATAACTTTGTCAGGCCAAAATTTATTTGGAGCATTGCTGAGTTCCATTTTAATTGGCATAAAATATAGTTCCAAAGGGAATGATTGATGTATATCTGCTTGTGTCAATGAAAAGAGATTATGCTAAGCACCTTTTATATTTCATATAATACATATTTTTCTAAATAACTGAATGTATATCCTCTTAGATGATGAAAATATATGCACATTTATATTTTGTTATCAATGCAAATGAACTTCAACAGAATGAAACACACAGGAAAGAATTAGAACTAGACTAAGAAGGAGTTCATTGTGGACTATAGAAGACCTTACTGGGCAGCAACCTAGGTAAATATTTTGTAACTGATAGCAAAATCTTATTTACCTCCTCCATCTTTTAGCGCACATGGCATCTTCCAAACAATATGAAAAATCATTCTCTAATCCCAGTTTACCTAATCCTCCCCCACTAATGTTTCTCCCAATGAATTACCCTTCCTCTGTACTTTTGTATTAGACTTATTCAGAAGTTCTACAAGGGAAATACTTAATAAACACTCTTGGTACAAGTAGGTGTCTTGTAGCGGTCTCTACATAGGTTGCAGAGACAATGAATGATCTCCAATCAGTTACCAAAGCGTGCCGATTTCCAAGATTTTCTGAAATTTAGTAGAAATGTGTATTTACCAAGAACCACACTTACTCATAAATCTGTTTATCCCAGTCCCAATAGTTATTGCTGTCATGCAAAGAAAGAAATGTGATCTTTTGAAAAAAGGATAAAGCTTTTTTGGGGAAAGATTTGTTACAGGTGACACACAGTCAATGTAGGTGTAAATGTAGGTATGGATGAGCCTACTAAAGCTGAATAGGTGAAAATAATCATTAAAACTGTATAAGATTTAGCATTCAGACTATTTTACAATTGTCTTGAATCCATAGACCTATTTAAAATAAAAGTGACATTTCCAGATGAGGCAATAGAGGTAGTTGTAGTTGACGTCAGCAGTAATATATGAAACTCCAAGCTACAGATTTCAGAGATTACGCTCTGCATCAAAAGATTACAGATAAAAAAATTTAGGTACACATAAAGTTACTTTATCATTCTCCACTGTGATCAACATTTTTTTTTCCAATCGCTATTGAATATACAGAGGCAAAGCAAGCATGTGGATTTTACTGTGCTATTAGGATAATACATAACATAGTACTGGGCTATTAAAAATGTGGGTTTAAATGATTTTCATTTAACATCAAAATCAACAGCTATAATTTCGTTTATCATTTAGCCACCATACTAAGGTCACTCTGGAACTTCAGAAAAGCATTAAGAGAGAGCAACATAAAATCTTTTCATTCCTCTCACCTGAGGCCTAGGAAAGGCCTGGAATAGATTCCTAATCCATTCTCTACTCCCAAAGACAGGAAATCTTCCTAGCATTAGGTTAATAACTGCCCCAAGTAGGTAACTGAATCTTTAGAAGCAGATAAAACCTGAAACTAGTACTGCACTGACAAAGAATGAAGAAAACTATTGTAACTTGAAAGAAGTTCAGTAAACAAATCACTATTTCTTGGAAGATTTGAAAAAATGAATATTTCAGAAGATGTCATAATTTTTTTTTTATAAGAAGACTCAACAGCCTGCAATTTTTCAGTCTGTTTTTCACACAGAAGAGCTTTAATTGGCAGAAATTCTCAGCTTTCTCCTATTGACTTAGCTTGTTTTTTTGGATTCCACCTTGGGCTCTCCTTGAGGCCCAACTCTCACAGCTGGTGTTCGCTGTTGACACAACAACCCGAAATATGCCTTGTTCTCTGAAGGATAAACGGACCTGCCATTTCCCAAGTTCCACAGAAGCTGCCCGACTGGGAACAAGTTGCCATGGCCAGCCACTCTCAGGGAATCCACCAGCTCCTTCAGGCAGAGAAAAGGGCCAAAGACAAGCTAGACGAAGCCAAAAAAAGTGAGTCTCATCTACGAGGGTTTTATCCAAAATGGATGAGGGAGGCTGAGGGGGAGGGAGATGAGCATGGGCTTCCCAGTCAGGCAGACCTGAGGTTAGTCAGCTGTACTATGCCTCCTGTGGAGCCTCGGAAGTTCCTTAAAACTACCCAGCCATGTGCTCCCCATCACTATAACGGGCATGAAGTTTTGTCATTCTGATCCATTTGAGACACTGTTCGCTAAGTGAAAATGTTACGGAAATATCAAGGTTAGGGAAACGTGGCTCCCACCCTGGCTCTGCTACTTCCCTGAAGGCTGCCACTCGTTGCTTTGTGAAATGCTTAAGGGATAGACAACTTCCAGAATGAATCTGCTCGCTGGAGAGTAAACTTGAGCAAATTACTTATCCCTCAGAAGCCCACGTTCCCATTTCTATAAAATTGTGATAGTAATATTTAACAGGTCCTTCTCATCCTTTCTTGATACATTTCCAATATTTAAAAGAATTTCCATCTTATTTGTATTCTGCTGTCATGCATCTACGTACTTACATATGAATGTAAAAATCACCTTCAGTACCCTTCCTACCTTCTTTGATATTCATAATTTTAAAAAATAGAAAAGGTAGTACCAGGTAACATGCTCAATATTTAACTTGTTTACTACTCACAGTGACCTTTATTGCAAAGGGAGAAAGTGATGCTTAAAGAGATTGTACTGCTTGCCCAAGGTCACACAGAGACAGGATTTAGAAGAGGTCGGATTCCTCAGTCATGTCTTAGGCACTATAACAAATTTACATGATTTTTATAATAAATGTTGCAAATCTGCATCCTGAATTCAGGTTCTCTAAGCCAAGATCTTTTTTTTTTTTTTCCTTCACCTTATTTGATTTACAATAGTTTCTAGTGTCAGCCCCTCCTTCGGGGCTGTCTTGCCTATACAATTAGATTCAAAGTCAAGCAAGGTAATCTTTTTTTTCTCTTTGAGTTTATTGGTACATTTTAGGTATGCAGTACCAGTTACCTTCATCACTGGGATCTTGTACCTTTACATGACAGGTCTTGGTTCTCATTTTTTCCCCTTATCTCTGCCCTCCCTTCACCCCCTCCTCCCTTCCCTATTTATAGATACTTTATTTCCATTTTTCCATTTTCTCTTTTCCCTTATTACCTTCCCCCCTACCCTTTCCCCGCTTCCCCTACACCTTTAGCCCTTTTCTTCCTATTTCACATTGTCAATTATACCATTAAGATCTTATGTACAATTAGTTTTTCACACCAGAGAAACTATTTGATGTTTACACATGTGTGACTTATTTATTTCACTTGAGTATATCCTCACTATGTATCCATTTTCCTATGAATGACTCTAATTTCTCGTTCTTTATGGCTGAGTAGTATTCCATTTTATAGAAAAACCACATCTTCTTTATCCAGTCTCCAACTGATGGACAAATGGGCCGTTTCCAAGTTTTAGCTATTACAAACTGCCGCTGTAAACATGGGTGCCAAGCAAGATAATCTTACGTAATCTTTGATGAATATAATGGCAAAATTAGAGTAGGCACTAAAAAGGTTTTATTTAATGGCATTGAATGGAACGACAGAAGTACATTCATTACAATGCAAAGGAGGAATCGGTGATTAGTTGTGCACTACTCAGTCTACTGGGGTTTTTGACCACCATATAAAATCCTTTCCCTTTAAGAACATTTAATTTCCTGAACACTCAGGAATGTGGGCACCAACGACACACAAGGTAAGGACTCCAGGTGGAGGTCGCGGTAGAGTGAGGGGGCAGAAGACAATGAATACATGTTTTACCTGCTTTTCAATTTATTCTATAGCAACCCATGGGAACAATTGCAGGGTGGGGTAAATGCCACCATCATACAGAAAACAACACAGAGCAGGACCTGCCAGTTGAAACCGTATAGAAACTCCTACAGTTTTTATTGAAATTTGCACCACACTTAAAACTTCCAGAAAAAGAGACCAAAATATTTACAATGTGATAATTATGCTGTTACAGGAACAAAAGGTCGATATTGAACACATATAAAAATATATATAACTCAGATGACTCTTGCTATTTTTTCCCTTTTCAAAGTTAGAAAAGGAAAATATTGTCAAAATCATGCAAGTTAAGAGTAGGGACTACTAAGAACTGGGACTTCACAGTGAGGCACAGTGAGGTAAAAGCCAAACTGCTTTTACTCCAGTTTGGGCACAAACTTTGCTCAGAAATTATTGGATGCTTGTGTACTAATAACTGAAAGTACATGTTTACTTTTTCTTCGTATACTGTCTTTGTTCATGAATATTCAACCATAATAACCCGGGCATTAAAAATAGTTCGGACAATATTTTGACTTTCAACAACTTGTAGAGAATGTCACTGTGCCCTCTCTGCCTCAGAAATCGCAGGCTTTAGGACAGTTTCACTGGATACAAATTGTTTCCCCGCACAGCTATCAGAGGGTAGCAACTTATAGTTAGAGCCGAAACTGTTCTACTGACTTCTTAAACATTCTGTGGCAGAAGAGATATATTACCCTATATACTCAAAGTGCTGTAACTTCCTTCATATTCCAGAAGTTTTACCTCATTCATTAATCTGAGTCCTTAAGAATTCATTTGGTGCTGACCAGCTTCATGTCACGCTGGTGTAAGCACTGATGAACAGGACTAGATTATTCTTAAAGTACTCCCCCGTGAGTTGAATACAGAAACGTCCATTAAAACAAGAGAAAGGAATAATGATGTGAAAGGTGAAAGTGGCCATCATTTTAACAAACCCATATGTCTTTTATCTTCTTTCCATAAAAAGATTCATTTGAAAACCTAGCATAGTAAGGCTGCGTAGAGATTCAGATGGGGGATCAGTAAATCACAATGGTTAATGCCACCGTGGAAGCTCCATATTGCTTTCTCAAGAGTCCATTTGGGCAGGATTTGAGTATATATTTTAAAAAGATTTAGAAAGGAAGGAGTTAAGAAAGACAGGGATAAAAACCCATAGTGATTCACATTGCTAATTGTTTTAGAAAAGTCCAAGATAGATAAGGTGGCAATATTTCCATTATGCTGCAATATACTAATATACTCCATTAAGGAAGGCTGCCTCAGACTACAGTAAAAATGTGACAGAACACACTATATAGTATAAAAGCTCTGCCTTAAGGGGATACGCAGGAGGCACCGTGGACCTGCTGTGTTAGAAACTCCCCCTGTGATGCTTATAGGAACGGAATTGCAGTCCCTTCCCTCAAGGGTTTCCCTGGCTGCTGGTGAAGAAGAGGGTTCAAGACGGGTGGAAAGGGCTACGACAGGCTTGAAAAGTCAAGACATGAGGGGAGCAAAATTTTCACTTTAAAACCTGTGTTTCTTGGTCTAAGTTATATAGCATCTGTGAGCACCACTCTTTTTTTTAAAAAAAGGAAGAAGTTATTTTATATGTGTATCTAATAACAAAGATATTTGAAAGATTAGAAAAATATATGTGAGATAGTAGAGTATAAAATAAGTATCAAAGAGTTGTTTTTCTTTTTAGTATGCATTGTATACATTGTTGTAAGTCACAAAAATAGAAGAATGAAATAGATCAGGACAACCTAGTTTCATTCCTTTTTACTCCTGCCACAAGTTCTGGGTTTACATTTCCTACACTACAGATCTCCACTACTTCTGGTAAGACGAGACAGGCTCAGATATTTGCCTCTATTTACAGATTAAATCATGTTTACCAGTTTAAAATTTCACACATAGTTTATGTGTGAAACAGCCCTACCACATTTATGTAGAAACACAGTAGGCTCGCACTAAATTATCTTAGAGTTAACAATTTGGTCCCAAGACATTGCTTGGCCTTCTTTCATGTTTGTTATTAATGAACAATCTACATTTTTACAATAGGACATCATAGACCTTCCCTGGAGATCAGATTTGGAATATGAAACTTAGCCTTCAATTAGAATTATTTTAGAAATCCAAGGAAAAGAGGAACAGGGACTTGTGTTTTTCCAAACTGGTTCCCAATTTCACTTTTGGTTTTAATGTTTTATAAACGTTACACCTGTTGAAAACTTGGAAACCCCTAGAGCTTTGCACAACTACTGCTAGTTTAAAAGTTTCAAATGCTTGGGACTCAACATCACATCATCACATAAAGAACCCATGTTCCTGAACCATTTTCTAACACGTACCATGCCCTCTCTACAAATAAACACCCAAGCCTTCTACTTGGATTCTATTGAAAACTGTTCATACTGAACTAAAAATTATAAATTGAATTATACAGATCAAGAGAGATGGTATTAACATGTAAATGCTCAAATCTGGATATGAGAGAAACAGAAAAAAGAATATTTTTAAACATCCTAGAAGCTATAGAAAAGCACAGCACAAGTGCTGGACATAGCCCTCTAGTTTTCTAAGGAGATAGTGTGGTATAAAACAGATGCTTCAGACTATATTTCTGCTTTCAAATTACATAACGTATCAGCTAATACAGTAATGCAGTTTTTTTATAGTTTTTATAGGTGCATAGGATATTAACCACCAAATTTTTCCTTAAGTCAGTAAATCCTCTGTTTCCAAATCTGTAGGTATTCTGAATTATTTAAATAAACACACTGATTTAATAAATTCTTCATTCTGTGAGTGGGTATTTTGGTTCATGAAGACATGGCTTTTAATAAACTAATAAGATGAAAGTTGTTAGAATTTCATGGCTCCGTCTTATGTTTTGTAGGCCTGTAAATACTTCTTCTTTCTTTATGGTCCACAGACTAATAGGGTATTTGTAAGTGCATTGGATTTTCATGTCTTTAAGTGAGTAATAGTAAAGTATAGAACAGTTTTTGTTAATAGGTACTTAATCCAAGATCTAGACAAAACAACTTGTTATTTTTTTTTAGTAAAGAAAATACAAGTAAAAGAAAAGGAAAACATCAAGGAAAGAGGGCCTGTGAAGAGAAACCATCAAAAGCTCGCTCAGCAGCCAACATGCTCACTA